AAGAGTCAAAATCTGCCTTGTAAAAGAGAAAAAAACCGCTGGCGTAGTACATTTAAATATACATAACTTTCTAAAATCGTATTCATACTTTTGGCTTCGCCATAGTCGGGTAAAAATTTTAATGTACATCATCTGCGTCAAATCAGAAGACAGGAATATACTGCAATCAGTGTCGATAATTTAAGTTGAGGCAGGCAATGCATCGTGCAGCACTTTTTGCCTCCCACACATGTACATTACACGCACTGGTATCTTTCAATCCCGCCCTAATCACTCCATCGCTAATCTAATATATACTATATCTATGGCTATCACCAATAATTCTTATGACGCGATGGTAAGATACTTTCAGAGAATATAACATAAAAGTGAACCTGAAGTTCCGACATCTCTTTTGTCTCTATGCAAATACGCAGCTTGTGGCAATGCAATCCAATTTGATACTAAATCCCATGAGATATAAGTGCACACCGCAATTTTAAATTAAATTACTGGATAAATTAATGTAAACTTTACTGTCATACAATCAGAATTCAAAGTCGCATTGAACTCGTTGAAAGAAATTTCAATGTTAAATGTCTCGTGCAAAGTTAGAATTAAGGATACCTACTTAAATATCTGTGGATGTAAGGGGAAAATGTTAACTTTTCCTCCAAACGCAAACCTCACCATCTCGCAGTGCTTACCAAATCAAGCTCTAAAGGACTGGTTGCAGAAGACCTATAAAAATGTGTATTTCTGTTGTTTTCTTTTTCATTTATTGTGACACTTACGTACATGGATATGTTAACAAATTTCTTCAGAATATGGTTAGAAATGATGATATCCGCAGTAGAATCAGGGCGACCGACATGGCCCAACGGACTAGTAAGCTGAAGTGGCAACGGGCCGGCCATATAGCTCGAAGAACCGACAACCGATGGAGAAAAAAGGTAACTCGAGTGGCACACTCGTACCGGTAGGCGAAGTGTAGGGCTTCCCCACCACTAGATAGAGTGACGAAGTCGATGGATGCCGGTGGCTCTGGACCGTGATATGTGGCATTCCTTGGGGGAGGCCTATGTTCAGCAGTGGACTTGTGAAGGGCTTTAATGATGATAATGATGGTCATATGCCGCATTGCGATGTTTTTGGGAGCACTTATTTACTTACCAAGCTACCAGCCGAGTCTGGTGATATAGGCCAACACTTAATGATGTACTCGTAAGACAATCCATCATCCCATTTCGCCCTCTACGTGTCGTAAGAAGCGACTATGACGAATGCCATAAAATTCATTTGCTTCTGCTAGATAACAGTATATCCATCTCGTTTACGCCAGGCTTAAATACCAGGACCGCCGACGGGCAGCTCCGTCAAAAGTATTCACATCTGATACATCAATCATCAGTCAGTTTTCAAAGCGTAACGATTTAGGTAAATCATTCCTAAAACGTGAGAGGTCCTTAACGCAGCTGTGGACTTATATAGGAAGATGAAAAGAAAATGCGGCCGACAGTTAGGGCGTTAGAAAGGAAATGGGTAAGAGAGTGCTTACCCAGGACTCGTCGTGCAGAAAAAGATGCCTATCAACCACTACGTTCCAATTTCACATATTATCAGTTCCTACGAAGTAGAGCCACGCTGCAAGTTTGCTAGCTATACATACATATATATAGTTACAGCACGGATGGGTCATTTTGACCGGAGTAAGACCACGTTCTCACAGAATACCAGCGTGAAACAACAGAAAAATGCTGCTGTTTTTCGGAGAGACACGGACCTTTTTACTGGTAATGAGGCATTCCATCTTAGTCCCTAGTTAATCGATGATATATGTAGATGTCTATGGGCCACAGCATCCACTTACCATCAGAAGGACTATGTATCAGTTTGTCACGCTTACGATATTAAAAATAAGCCAAAGTCTATTCCAAAAAAGGTATATACGAAGGCCTGTAGTAAAACATAACCAATAGATATTAAAAAAAATAACTTATTGTATTTAACATTATCTAGAATCTCGAGCAAAGTTTTTGATCTTCTTGCCTTCCTCACAGGGGAGTGCAAGGCACGGATGAACAAGTTATTTTCACTACATGCTATGTAAGTGCAAAACAAAGTACCTCGCAGTATCCTAGATGAAAAATCGTACGTGTGGAAAATAATATTCTACTGGTGTGGTAACTTTCAAGCGCTTACTAAGTTCTTTTTTTTATTAAACTGAAGTGACAAATGTTAATCTATACATATAATAAATCTGTAGAAAAGTCGTGTCTGTAATTCTAATATATTCTTGAAAAAATAAGTCCAGGGGACTAAATAAAGGGTTCTGAAACTAAATTAGTGGTTTTTAGAATTTTTGTCTGTCTGTTTGTCTGTCTGTCTTTCTGTCTGTCTGTCTGTCTTTCTGTCTGTCTGTCTGTCTGTCTGTCTGTCTGTGTATTCCGGATTCACGCAAAAACTACTGAACCGATTAACATGAAATTTTGTATATAGGTAGTGAGTAACCCGGGGCAACTTATAGGGTACTTTTTATCCGATTACGGAACTTCAAAAAAGGAAGGTTATGAATTCTATTTCCTTTAGATGTTAATTTAGCTATTAGTTATAGGCGGGATGACGGGTGTTTTTCAAATAAAAACCATATTTGTAAATAAAGTTTAACATATAGTTATAATCTTGGTAAAATAATTTAAAACTACACCGATTTGGTATTCAAAACAGCGCCATCTATCATCAAATGGAAAAGTAGTATATTTTGCTTTCAGTTACTAATAAATGAAATAATATAAATAACTTAAATTTATATGATTAAAAGATTAGATTTTTAAAATTATTAAAAAACTACGTTTAGTTTTTTAGTATTTTTGTTATTTTATTTTAAAAGTGTAATTTCAATAGATAATGGTGACGTATATCAAAAATATGAAAATTGATAAGGTATTTATTTCAATTACTAATATATATGTAAAGTGATTAAAACCAGTCTGTCTGCAATTGTTGCAAAATTTTCATTATCATTATAGTTTTATTAAACAGATTTTTATGTATGTCGTGGCCAGATCGTAGAATTGATCATATATCATAAAGTAGTCTATCATTTCGTGAAATGGTGTGGTCATTTCATGATATTTAACACTATTTGTTGACACTATAGCTTGACTAAATCAATGAATAGAAATCGTTTGAAGATATTAATAACTAAATACAATGTTGCTATTTCATAATATGGGCATATGACGATATCATTAAATCGTTTTTCACCACTACCGGCGCTGATAGCGCTTTTTTTAATAGAAATTTTAAGAGAATTGACATCACTTTATTCCTTATTGATATAATAAATAAATGCTCGCTTCTATTGCTGATATTACTAGATGGTAGAGTTTTGGCTTTCATTATTTCATCTAATATTAGTGCCACCTACTTACTTCAAAATAAACTAAAATGGGAAGTCATTGCTAAAATGAAATAATACAATGCTACTGAATAAACAATGTAAATAATTGAATCATTTACATTACATTCATCCCGCGTTGGAATCAGCGCAGTGAACACTTTTTTGGCCAACAACTCTGCGGCCTGTGCCCAGTAGTAACATGTATGTAAGCTGCTGCTTTTTTACTTTTCATGGGGCAATATATGCAGTTTTTATTTCATTCGTTTTTAGGGCATGTTACTTTTTGTTTTCACTCTGCCGTAAATATTAAGGCTTGCAAAGATGAGTAGAACTCATTATCGTCAGCCTATCAAAAGTCCACTGAAATTAATATAGGCCTCCCCCATTAATTGTCAAGTAGCTGGATATTTGCTAAAGTTGCCACGCTTGGCAGGCGGGTTGGCAACCGCAGCTATTATTATTTTGATCTGTTGTCAAGAAGATGATGCAGCCCATACCATCTTCAGTTTGTTTTCATATGTCACCTCTTACGACGGGTCGGTATGAGGTGGTGGATTTTATTTCACTGCCACAACAGGGCGAACATTTTTCTACTCCTGTTCATGGGTGTAGTGCTCCTCACGTTCACTGTGAATAAAATGTATATAAGGAAAAAAACTAATTTTAAGGAATTTATTGCGTTTAATTTTAACTTTTCAAATTACCGATGTTTTGGGCACTTTACAGCAACCATAGTTACGGGAGGGACTGGAGAACTGAGGTGTTTGACGACCTGATGTCATCGTTAAAATAGAATAGAATAAATGCAGTAGTAGTTTGAATTTAATTTTATTAATTATGGGGTCCTTAGCAGATGGTAGCACGCAATCATCTTCCCTATTAAAATTAGGATATTTTTAATTTCAATAGCCTCGCGAACCATCATTGGTAGGATTCGGTGTTCTATTGCAAGGATTTTGTGCGGGACAAGAGAAAAACAAATAGTGATACATAAATAAGACAAAAACATTTATATTAATGGAATAAATATTATATAGTTAGTTTGTACTTAGATAGGATAAACATTTATATTAATAGAGATTATAGTTTAGATAGGATATAAGCATTTTATGTTAAGATAATAATAGTGTAGAGCTTATATTTGTGTAATAAAATTAGTTGGTCACTTTGTATAACAGAACTAGCTTAAGGTAAACAATATAAACAATGACTCAGTAAGATATAGAACTAGCTTAAGACAAACAATGTAACGGGACTCAGCATCGTCACTTGCTCTGTCACGCCTCGCGCTGATTGGTCGACGCCATTTGTACGATGCGTCGGCCGTATCCATTGACCCAGCCCGAGGCGGTATAAAAGAGGGGCGATTTTCGTCGTTCGACACAGTCGGCGGCCAGCTACCTCAAGGAAAACACCAAATATAGAAGAAAGAAAAATATCACAGCGGTTTTATTCTCCACCAATCCAGCACACAAATGTGCCTGTAGGGCACATTAAATGGTCCTTCGCCAGCCGAATCTTGTGGGGAATAATTACCTGAAGAAAAATAATTAAGAAGACTCCTCGGAAATCGTTTTTCAAGACTCAAGATTATTCGAAGAAAAAGTCAGCTAACAGCATGGCCGTTACGCGCTCTGAGGGAAGGGGCAGCAAGCCGTCGTCGTCCAAGGCTACCACCTCGGCGACCGGTACCACCAGTGCGGAAGCCAGTACGGAATCAACAGCTACAGGGACGACCGCCACGGAGACTTCGGAGTATACAGACACCTCCGCGGCGACTGATCCATCCACCGTGACTTCCGCCACCGCAGCGACCACTTCGTCCGCCGCCACCTCAGCCTCAGCCGCAACCGCCGCCCCCGCCACGCACCCCGCCAGCGCCGTCGCTCCTTCCGTAACACCATCCGCGGCGACGACACTAACTGCGGGTGCGAAGGCCAAACAGCTGATGAAGCCGCCCGCTACTGTCACCAGAGCAACTCACCGAGAAACAGAAACTTCTACAGTGAAGCGAGCCATAAGAAGCACCGCCGGTCCATCAAAGCAAACCAGGCTACAGGAACCCCGCCCGCCCAGCAAGAAGGGAGGTGGAGGGGGATCTACACGCAGTAGAACGAAGCAGCTCAAGCTTGCAAAGGCGAAAGAAGATTTACTACGCCTTCAAGTGGAATTAGCCGCAGCACGCCTTGCTGCCTTAGAAAGGGAAGACTCAGAAGAGGAAGAGGAAGAACAAGATGACGCATCCCTCTACTCAAGATCAGAAGTCAATACAAGAGTGGACGACTGGTTGGAGAATCAAGTGAATCGCCCGGTGTTAGCAATCACCAACGAACCTCACCAGGCCATAGAAGAACCAACAGCCGCCCACGCAGAAGAACCAAGGCACGAAGAAACACATCAGTCACCGGCGGGAGGTCAAACTGACGTAGCCCTCCTGGCTGAAGCCATCACTCGGGCTGTCAGCGCCGCCCAACGACCTAAGTTCGTCGAGTTACCATTCTTCAGCGGGTCGCATCAGGAATGGCTACCCTTTCGCGCCGCCTACTACGAGACAGAAGCGACATTCAGCGTAGTTGAAAATACGAATCGACTCAGAAGAAACTTGAAAGGGAAGGCCAAGGAAGCAGTTGAAGGCCTACTTATGACCAACGCACACCCGGCTGAAGTAATGAAGACTTTGGAGTCAAGATTTGGAAGACCAGAGTCAATAGCCATGCTGGAGATGGAGACGCTTAGAGGTCTGCCGCGCCTTACTGAGTCACCAAGAGACATATGCATATTCGCCACCAAGATCTCCAACGTAGTGGCGACACTGAAGACTTTGGGTTGTTTTAACTACATGTACAATCCTGAACTCGCGAAGACAATAGTAGACAAACTGACGCCAACTCTGCGTTATAGGTACTACGACTTCTCAGCCATGCAGCCACGTGAAGACCCTTGCCTCATCAAGATAGAGAAGTTCTTCAAAAGGGAAGCAGAACTGTGTGGACCCTACGCGCTGCCCGAACAGATGACACCGCCTATTACAGCCGCACCACAAAGGAAGACTCAAAGGATCAACAACGTGACTGAGAAGACATACATACCAAGATGCGTCGTATGTGAAGATACGGGGCACACCAACGCCACAGAATGTGAACAATTCAAGAAGTTAGATGCAAATGCAAGATGGGACATGGCCAAGTCCAAGCGCCTCTGCTTCAGGTGTCTTCGCTATAGGAACAAGACACACCACTGCCGACCCAAGCCATGTAATGTCAACTGCTGCAAGTACTCTCACCACAAGATGCTGCATTACGAAAAGAAGTCAGAAGATTCAGAAGCAAAAGAAAATCAAGGGGCAACAGAGGTCATCAACTCAACCTGGACCGTCAAGAAGCAATCATACTTAAAAATCCTACCGATCCAGGTCAAAGGACCAAAAGGAGCTGTCAACACCTTCGCGTTGATGGACGACGGCTCAACAGTCACGCTCGTCGACGATAGTATAGTAACAAGCATCGGAGCAACGGGCCCCATAGACCCACTGAAGATAGAAACCATCAACGACAAGAAAGTATCGGAGTCAGCATCGAGGAGAGTCACCATCAAACTAAAGGGGCTCAACGATCATGAAGAACAAATACAAGCACGCACAGTGAAGAACCTGCAAGTCTCATCTCAACGGGTCCCACAGGATCTAGTGGAGGAGTGTCAACACCTCTCTGATATCCAAGGACATCTCACATATGCAAACGCCAAGCCACGAGTGCTGATCGGACAAGATAACTGGCATCTTCTGCTGACATCGGAAGTAAGAAAAGGAGACAAGAACCACCCAGTGGCATCTCTCACGCCACTAGGTTGGGTACTCCACGGCAGCCAGACACGAAGCTTCGGACGGAACATCGATTTCGTGTCACACATCGTAGAAGATCCAGAGGAGAATCTAGAAGACCTCGTGAAGCGATACTTCGAGATGGACGCACTTTGTATAAAGCCCAAGAGACCGAAGACTGATCCAGAAGAACAAGCACTTCGTATCTTGGAAAGGACCACAACGAAGACAGAAGAAGGAAGATTCCAGACCGGTCTTCTCTGGCGCAAAGACGATGTCAAGTTACCAGACAATTACGAAAACTCGCTGAAGAGGCTCTTCAACATAGAAAAGAAGATCGATCGTGACCCCACGTTAAAGAAGAAATACGTGGAACAAATGAACGCTCTCGTCGCAAAGGGGTACGCCGAACCCGCCCCAAAACAGAAGACAGCTGACAAAACTTGGTACCTACCTCACTTTGCAGTAGTCAACCCAATGAAACCGGAGAAATTACGGGTGGTACACGATGCCGCAGCCAAGACCAAAGGGGTGGCACTTAATGACATGCTACTCAAAGGGCCCGACCTACTACAATCGCTACCAGGTGTCGTCATGCGCTTCCGACAACACATGATCGCGGTTACGGCGGACATCAAAGAGATGTTCATGCAAGTCAAGTTGCGAGAACAAGACAGGGACGCACTGCGGTACCTATGGCGTGGGATTCGACGAGACAACCAACCTCCGGAAGAGTACAGAATGACATCATTAATTTTCGGAGCATCGAGTTCGCCTTCGACAGCAATATACGTCAAGAACCTAAACGCCAAACAGCACGGGGAAACTCACCCAGAAGCCGCAGCGGCCATCATAATGAAGCATTACGTCGACGACTACTTGGACAGCTTCAGAACCCTCGAAGATGCCAAACGCATCACGAAGAGTGTACGAGCCGTGCACATGAAAGCCAGCTTCGAGTTGAAACAGTGGAAATCAAACTCAGCATCACTCCTAGAAACACTTGGAGAAGACAGCCAGACAGAAGACATGGAACTCTACAAAACAGAAGAAAAGATGGAACGAGTTCTGGGTGTTGTTTGGAAGATCCACTCGGACGAACTCACCTTCAACCTCAACTTAGCCAGAATACCCTCAACACTCCTAGAAGGGAAGCAGCCGACGAAAAGGGAAGCACTGAGAATAGTGATGTCGCTCTTCGACCCGCTCGGATTCGCCTCGCCTATCACCATCAGGGCAAAACAACTCCTCCAGGAAGTCTGGCGTAGAGGAACAGCATGGGACGACAAGATCGACGAAGACCTGGCAGAGCAGTGGAAAATGTGGATGGAGCATCTGGAAGGCCTCCACGAAATAGCAATCCCGCGACAATATCTTCACTACAGTGACGCGGCCTCCCTAGAACTCCACGTCTTCAGCGATGCCAGCGAGTCAGCTTATTCTGCGGTCCTCTTTTGGAGAGCTGTAACAGCAGTAGGCGAGGTCCACCTATCCCTTATTGTGGCGAAAGCAAAGATGGCACCGTTAAAACTGACGTCCATCCCAAGATTGGAGCTACAGGCAGCAGTCATGGGCACCAGGCTCGCAGAAACAGTAGTCGAAGAACACGAGAGGAAACCTGACCGCAAAGTATTCTGGACAGACAGCAAGACAGTACTAACCTGGATAAGGACAGGGTCACGTTCATATAAGCCCTACGTGGCTCACCGTCTAGCAGCAATAGAAGAGAGTTCCAAAGTTAACGACTGGCGCTGGGTTCCGACAAAGCTGAACGTGGCGGACGACGCCACACGAGACGTACCAGCAGCATTTAATAAAGAACATCGATGGTTCAAAGGGCCTGACTTCTTATACCTAACAGAAGACTTCTGGCCGACAGAAACCACAAGAGCAACAGCGGAAGAACCTTCCGACGAAGAAAGGACACATTACGTGAGCAACAAAAGAAGATTGAGGCTTGCCGAAGGTCTACCTGATCCAGCGAAGTTCTCCAACTGGGACCGACTCCGATACTCAACCGCACGTGTTCTACAGTTCATTCAACTCTGCAGAAACACCAAACAGAGAGTCAACTACAAACGAACAAAGAAGAATAAAGAGGCTGATCCCACTTGGAAAAAGAACAAAGCTACAGTGAAATATCAGGCGCACATGACGACAAAGAAGCGGTCGCCAGAAGACATAAAGCCGCTAATGGTCTCAGCCGAGCTGCTTAAGACAGCTGAAGAGCTTCTGATGCGATCCTCCCAAGAAGAATCCTTTGCGGAAGAAATAGACAGCCTAAACAGCGGGAAGCCGATCAATAAGGAGAGCCGCCTTCGCCAGCTCAGCGTCGAGTCAATAAACGGCACACTACGACTTAGAAGTCGTATTCGAGCAGTCTGCGACATGGAGGAAAAATTCAAGAACCCGTTGATAATTGACGGTGATCATCACACAGTCAAGCTCTGGGTGCAGGCTATACATCGGCAACTCCATCACGCCGGTGTAGAAGCCACAGTTAACGAGTGCCGGCAGCAGTATTGGGTACTGAGACTGCGCCCTATCGTACGCACAATACTACGAAAATGCCTATTCTGCAGAATGAAGACGCAAGTACCGCCGCATCCGAGAACCGGGGACCTGCCAACGTGTCGCTTAGCTCACCACAAGCGCCCCTTCACCTACACCGGGGTGGACTATTTCGGACCTCTTTCGGTGACCGTCGGACGAACTCGACAAAAGAGATATGTGGCCATTTTTACATGTCTCACTACGCGAGCCATACATCTAGAAGTTGCCGGCTCACTTAGCGCTGACTCCGCGGTAATGGCCATAAGGCGGATGATCGCACGGCGAGGCTGCCCGACAGAAATATGGTCAGACAACGGCACCAACCTGAAGGCAGCCGATAAGGAACTACGACAGGCGGTCGACGCAGCGACCGCAGAAGAAGCAGCAAAAAGGACTATCTCCTGGCGCTACATCCCGCCTGGAGCTCCATTTATGGGCGGAGCCTGGGAGCGAATGGTTCGCTCCGTCAAGACCGCTCTTATCGCGACGTTGCACGAACGTCATCCGACGGAGGAAGTCCTCACGACACTACTGGTAGAAGTGGAATACACCGTCAACAGCCGACCGCTGACTCACGTCTCAGTCAGTCCAGAGGATCCCGAAGCTCTCACTCCTAACCACTTCTTGTTGGGAGGACCGGGACGAGTACCACAGCTAGGCACTTTCACCGAACGAGACGCCCTCTCACGGTCAAGTTGGCGAGCCGCGCAGAGGCTAGCCGACACCTTCTGGTTACGCTGGGTGAAGGAGTACCTCCCTGAGCTTCAACACCGGCGGGAGCCCCACGGACAAGGCCAAGCAGCACGCGTCGACGACCTCGTACAGATCGTCGATCCCAACCTGCCTCGCAACGTGTGGATACGAGGAAGAGTCATCGCTACATATCCGGGTCCCGACAACGTCGTGCGGACTGTGGACGTGCTAACTAAGGGAGGTGTCCTACGCCGGCCAGTAAGGAAGCTTGTGATCCTGCCTCTATCTACGGACGTCGAGCCCGCACCGGAAGCTGATGCGACGCGGTCGCACGGCGGGAGTGATGTGCGGGACAAGAGAAAAACAAATAGTGATACATAAATAAGACAAAAACATTTATATTAATGGAATAAATATTATATAGTTAGTTTGTACTTAGATAGGATAAACATTTATATTAATAGAGATTATAGTTTAGATAGGATATAAGCATTTTATGTTAAGATAATAATAGTGTAGAGCTTATATTTGTGTAATAAAATTAGTTGGTCACTTTGTATAACAGAACTAGCTTAAGGTAAACAATATAAACAATGACTCAGTAAGATATAGAACTAGCTTAAGACAAACAATGTAACGGGACTCAGCATCGTCACTTGCTCTGTCACGCCTCGCGCTGATTGGTCGACGCCATTTGTACGATGCGTCGGCCGTATCCATTGACCCAGCCCGAGGCGGTATAAAAGAGGGGCGATTTTCGTCGTTCGACACAGTCGGCGGCCAGCTACCTCAAGGAAAACACCAAATATAGAAGAAAGAAAAATATCACAGCGGTTTTATTCTCCACCAATCCAGCACACAAATGTGCCTGTAGGGCACAGATTTGTTGTCTATCAGATCCGATATAATGGTTGGGACGATACTAAACATGTTGACATACTTTAGACTTCCCGGAACTTCGGTGCTTCACATCAACGATATGTTCTTGTACTCGGAACTTTTATCCAAGATGCGTAAAAAAGCCCGTAACATTAGTTTTAATCCATGTGCAGTATTCATTATTATAGAACTGTATTTATGATGTTTTCAAGTCTACTCCAAGTAAAAAAAATCTACATCTATTTTATGGTGCCAATCAATATTAAATAGGACCAATGATATGAATGTCTCAAATAAATAATATATTACTTTGTTAAAACTAAATTAAAGTTAATTAGTTAGTTAGTTTAAAAAACTATGAATAATTTGTAAAGAGTAAAATGTAAATAATAATAATACATTTTGATTTCAAGACTATTTATCTTTCTTATAGATACATCGGAATTGGAAGACACGCCCGATATAAAAAAAAAGTAGGTGTTTCTAGACATATGTATATATTCACGTGTTTCTGTAGCATGTTACCAATCATATACGTCTAATATTTTAGAATGAAAAAAAATCTTTGACAGACATAGAGACATAGACATCGAGGTGACTAAAAGTGATCGAATTTTTTTAAATTTGGCACGGAACAGCATTTAATGATGTTCCTAAATTCAAGCACACGCGAGCGAAGCCGCGGGTGAAAAGCTAGTATATAATAAATGCAATCGATGCTTCTTTGCCTATGCCAACACAGTGGCAGTTTATTTATGCCATTCTTCAAGAAATCAGCTGGACGGGAGGCAACAAATTCTTCAAAGGCATTTTGTACTGCCTCTCGGGTATTGCATTTTTTTCCCCATAATTTGTTATTACCATCATGTAATTGGGTCCTTCACGTTATAATCGGTGTGTGATTGTGTCGAGAACAAGTTACGGTTGGCCGAACCGTATTGCTCTATACTGAATGTATGGTGCAGTGCGCTGTTTCATTGGTGACAATGATCGGTTGCGTAACGTTATGAACCGATGTATATGTAAGTAATTGCTATTGTAAGCATCGTGTAAAGTATATAAAAGTGATTTTCATATAATTTAGGCAGTCTATACGTGGTAGAGCCATGCTGAAGCTATATTAGTAGTATAGTTGTAGCACGAATGGGTCGGCTCGACCGGGGAAGGACCACGCTCTCACAGAATACCAGCGTAAAATGGTAGCTTGACACTGCTATGTTTCGTATGGTGAGTGTAGAGAACCGGAGACCCATTTTAATGAAAAAGAGGCATTCCACCTTAGTCTTCACGGGTTAGACGACGCATCTGCATTTTGATCCTTTATTGAGGATAAATGTAGATGTCACAGCAACCACTTACCATCAGATGAACTGTGTGCTCGTTTGTCACCCTATCCTATAAAAAAAAAGTCTAACCCTAACCTTGGTTCGGTACACAAATTTCGTCTAACTTATAAAACTCCTATGTGTGATTAAATTAATTTAGTTTTGCAGCTGTAAAAAGTGTTTTTTTAAGGATCCTAGATGATCCATCCTAACAGTAAGCGGGATAGCAGGCTGGGCATCCGTTTACACACTCATTCTACATTAAAATTTCTAATAAAATTATAATTTATAAACAATTCCATAAATATGAAAATAAGCCCATGGACGAAGGCTACAGGGTTTTTATCACCATAACATCGTCACATTACGTCATAACAATAGAAATTGGGCACCATGCGAGGTTGCTATTCATATTATATTTTCACAGGTTAAGTAGAAGATAGGAGCAGTGCACTGTACACAGTACACAGTACAGTACTAAGAGTATTTGAGCTCTAGTCATAATTTCCATTGCAGTATGAGTACAATCGCGCAAATTGATATTTATAGACCCAGTTTACAGTTTCTCCTGTAATATCTGTTATGGTTATTCTATTTCACGATGAAAGTTTCGCCTTGATTGTAGTAGTGACGTGTACCAACAGGCGCGTTTGTGTGTGTAACTATGATTCGTTCGACTCGCGATCGTGACTAAGCACTCCCGAGGCTAACGCACACTAACACAATGTGTATGTGCACGGCTAACACAACCAAAGTCAAACTTTCATCGTGAAATAGAACAACTATACATGACTATGATATGAAACTAAATATTAAAACTTAAATGAAATTAAATTATCCGTGGTAGAGTCACGGTACAGCTATATTATGGTTATAGTATGAATGGTCCGGGTCGAACGGGAAAAGATCATGCTTTTACAGAAAACCAGCGAAAAAGCTGATGTTTTTTGTATTTAAAATATAATATACCTACCTACTTTAAAATTAGTGTACGTCTAGTTGTCAGAAAGAAAATTAAAATTCATGATTATTTAGACTTAAAAGGTTCTTACATGAATACTTTTACATATATATGTATATTTTTAAATTTTTATTTTTAAGTGAATATATCGCAGATTAACTTAAAAGAGTTTAAGAGTCTCTGCGGTTTTCTTAGTCTGTGTAAACGGCAACTTGTACAAATGCAATCCAATTTAACGCTCGGTCCCCCGAGATGTGTGCGAGTGTGCACCGACTTAAATTAAATTCGGCCTGATTAACGAAAATGTGCTTTGTGTCGTTAGCAATTGAATTAAAAATAAATTGCCTCCGATTCCTTGGTTGTTAGGTCAGTTTCATTACTGTGAGTTTTGGTTGTAAAGTTGCACAAGTACCGTAAAAATGAAGATATTAACACTGTAAGGAGCACGTTGGTGCGTTTTGCTGGGCAAAACTTTTTAATTATTTTCTTTTCAACCTTTACGGTGGCAAAAAGACCTATAAGATTCCCTTATCCTCCAAAACACACGTGGTAAATCAGCACTTTAACAACGTCATTGGTGCCGGCGGGCATTATAGAACCCGGGTTGTTAATGATCTAGGAAATTTACAGTGAATTTTTGGTAGCTCGGGAGCTACCAAGCTTTTACTAGGGTACATTGTTAATTGACAATAATTGAAATTTTCTTTCTTTTTGTAGGATAGGGTGACAAACGAGCACACAGTCCACCTGATGGTAAGTGGTTGCTGTGACCCATAGACATCTACATTTATCCTAAATGAAGAATCAAAATTCAGATGCGTCATCACCCGTGAGCACTAAGATGGAATGTCTCTTTTCCAGTAAAATGGGTATCCTGTCTCTACACTCACCATACGAAACATAGCAGTGTCAAAATGTCATTTTGCGTTGGTATTCTGTGAGAGCGTGGTCCTTCCCCGGTTGAACCTGACCCATTCGTGCTACAACTATACTACTGATATAGCTGCATGGCTTTACCACATACAATCTTCTTCTTCATCTACTCATTTTTTATAATGTAAGGGCGACAAACGGGCACACAGTCCACGTTGTGGTGAGGAGATGCTGTGGTCGATAGAAGTCTATATTAATTCTTGATTAAGAATTAAAATGCAGTTTTCACGTCACGTTTTGCGTTGTCACTCCTAAGGACTAAAATGGAATGCCTCGTTTCCAGGGAAACTGGTTCTGAAACTTTACCTCCGGTCCGGTAATGGAAAATATTATCATAATTTACAACGTGGTAGAGCCGTACTGCAGCTATATTACGGTTGTAGCACGAATGGGTCGGCTCGACCGGGGTAGGAACCACACTTTCACAGAATATCAACGCGAAAGCTCGTATGGTGAGTGTATTGAACCGGAAACCCTTTTTACGGGTAACGAGGCATTCTATCTTAGTTCTCAGGTGTGACAACGCATATCTGTATCTAGATTCTTAATCGAGAATAGATGTAAATTACTATGAATTACCGCATCAACTTATCATCAGGCTCTTTTGTCACCCTTATTCTATAAGAAAGAAAACTTTTTGGACTCTGCTTACTGTGGCCCATAGATAACTACATTTATCCTTAATTTAGAATAAAAATGTAGATGCCACCCCTGAGGACTAAGATGGAATGCACCGTTACCAGTAAAAAGGGTCTCTACTCTGTACGGTACTCGGAGAGCCGTGGTAGCTCAGATGGTTAGCGCTCGCTGTAAGCTTCACAGTACTCGAGCAACCCGGGTTCGATCCCCGCCGGCACCAATGAAATTGTTAATTGCAATTTTAAGTGCTGATTTACCACGTGCTCGGCGGTGAAGGAAAACATCGTAAGGAAACCTGCATGTCTGAGAAATGAGAAAAAAAATATTTCGAAGACATGTGAAGTTCGCCAATACGCAATGGGGTAGCGCGGCGGACATTTCCTTGCCCTAAAATCCTCTCAGAAATGAGAGGAGGCCTGTGCCCAGCAGTGGGAAGTAAATAGGCTGCAACTTTACTTTACTTTTTCTCTGACAGCGTAGTCCTTCCTACAAATTCATACTGCAGTCACAGTAGCCGACGCCATTGATCTAGTAGTAGGTTAATGACTGCTGTCGTGAAGCGACAATAAAGAACAAAAAGAATCTAACCTAAGAACAACAAAACAACAAAAATACAACAAAAACAAAAATATATTTAAAATTCA